AGAGCGGTTATGCAGCTTGTAGTGACTTCTCTGTGGTACTGATTTTAGAGATCTGGGAACATTATGCAGGTTTTATGTATAAACAGATTTAGGGCCAAGCTTTGCAGCTATTACTCATATGGGTAACCTTATTGGCATAAACAGGGTTGATCAAATGATTAACAGTTGCTTACATGAGCCTTGGATTTTTGCAGGATTAGACTTTCACTTTCTACCCTGCACAAAGAAAAAAGCCAGATGCTTTACCTCTTTTTAAACACATCTGCCTTTTTAATTAAAGAACATTTCTCCCACTAGTGCACAGCTGTGAGTTGCACATGCATTAGGTTTCTCTACAATGTATGTACTCTATAAATACTTTACAGAAACTGATGTATAGGTACAGTTGTTTGATTAAAAAATCCCCAGCTGTTTTAGCTGCCGTTTAGTATTGTAACTGCCCTCTCCCACATACCCTAAATATATGAAAACTAACTAAAACTGAATGCTAAGCTTGGTTGATAGTAGAATATTCACTAATTTCTAGGATCTAGCATAAATATAAATTAGTTGACAAGGGTAACTAAATTTCAAGTATGAGCCTCACCAGAGTAGCAATATGGTCCAACCAAATGCCTCTCCCAAACATGGCTTCTTGCTGTGAGTTGGAAATACATTGTTATGTTCTGCTCCCCTTACTCCCATTAGCACCTTACTCTGGCACATGGCAGACCTACTGCAGTGCATAGTGGAATAAGCTGGGGGGTGGAGAAGCAGGGAAGAATGCAGTCTATGATGACTGACTGATTGTATGTGTTTATTTCCCTCTCCTTCCCACTTTTTCACCCAGCATCACTAGCTTAGAGCAGAGAGAAGCTTCCCAGCAAAGCACTTCCTACAAATAGTTAAGTCCACTCTATCTTTGGTTTGCAGAATTAAACCCCAGTTGATTTTTTTTTCACCAGATGTCACAAGACATTTTTGTCCCGCAAATCTGTAGTTCACAGCATCCTAATCAAAGTCCTCATTCATTCCTGTTTTCAGTCACCCCAGTAAAAGTATTCCTCTGTGCAGGGGAATTCCAGATGTACCAGTCACCCTATTAAAAGGACAAATGTTCATGGCTCTGTCAAAACTCTTGATAATGCTATTCTTTGTTTCCTGTGGTGGAAGGTGCAAAGGAACTGATTTCCCCCCATCTTCACACATGGCCTAGTCACAGCAAGACAAGCTGCTTTCCCTTTTTCCCTACTCCTTTCAGCCACCTTTCAGTGGGGCTCTCATGCACACAGTATTTCTTACATCATCTTAGGAACCTTTTCCCTTGTGTCTTTCATCTTACTGTCTAGTAACAAAGACTTTATTACATATCACCATTTACTGTAAGGCAAGTAGAAATAAATGCAGCTCAGCAATCTGGAGTTTTGGGTCAAGATTGCTTGGTCAGCCAGATCTTTAATCAGTAGCACAAGTAAATAGACTGTATGGGTTGATTCATAATGGGGGACAATTAGTGAAAGATGCCCTTCTGGTTATGTTTGTTTGGTTGCCTCGGATGAAACTTGGATGCTCTGCACTGGTCTAAATTGCTCTGGGCTTTGATTTTTTGCACTGGAGAGCAAACCACTTGCTGACCTACTTCTAAACCATCTATCAGTGTTTCAGTTTGACTGCTTCCTTTTGGGATGGTGGCACTGGGATAGGATTGTTCATATAACAGAAACTAAGAGGTTATTAACTAGGGCTAGCACTTACCTCATTGACTGGGGTGGCTTAGTTCAGGAACCCTTTTATTTCCAAAGACTCCCAGGGAAGGATAGAGAAATATCATTAAAGGTTTTGTAGTTACTGCAATAATATAGAAAGACATACTCACACTATAGTACGTGCAACTCTTAGGCTTGTATACATATGGGAGTTTTGGCCCTGACCTCAGCAGGAGCAAAATCAGCCACAAAATGTGTAAGGGCTCTGAGTCTCAGTGTGTAGTTACCGGATGGCAGAGAGGTGATAAGAAAATGCAGCAGAGTTGTTATACAAAAGTAGCGTGATATACAAAAGTAGTAACATAAAAGCCAGATCCTACCAGGTGCTGATCGTCCTCCACTCCCTTTGGCTCTACTGGGAATTGAGGGTGCCCAGAACTGCACAGGATTAAGACTTTGTTTGCCTCCTACACTTCCAGTAACAGCGTCATTCAGAAAAGAGACTGAAATCCAAGATCGCTTCAGGGTATGTGAATAGCAAATGCTGCCAGTTGGCAGCTAAGAGCATTGCTGAATATTCCTGTTGGCTAAGATGTTCTGCAAGCGACTATATAAATGATTCTTGGAGGAGATGAGATATCAAAGTCAGGCACTGCAGTACTACTCCACCCTCAAGAGACCCGTGTCCTGTGACTAGCAGTTTTGTTCACTATAGAATTACAGAGAGCACTTGCTTTCTGCCCATAGTTTTGAGGAGATCTGAAACTCTGAGAATGACACTCAAGAAGACAGTCTCTTCTTAGCACCTGATGAAATAAGCTGCTGCTTATTAAAGTTTGTGCCTTTATGATTTAGTCAGTCTACAAGGTGCAAATCTACCTTGCCTTCTACTCTGTTAAAAAGAAAACAGGCTCAGTCACCATGCAGGGTTGCTCTGGAGAAATGCAGCTTGGGGGCAGTGGGTCTATTTGGAGCAGCAGAAATAGAGCAGAAAAAAAGCACTCTTGCAAGAAGTCTGGCCACTACTAATTTAAAAATAGACCCATGGAAAACAATTCAGTGACATTCAAGCACAGGACAAGTCACTGATCAACAGATAGTGGCTTTGAGCTTCTTGTTTTAAACTCATTCTGTTCAGCCCTCCCTGCCCCCAACCTTTTTGTTTCATTTTTTTTAAAGAATGGAAAACAAAACAAAGTTCTCCTGCGGATGGCTTGTCTGGTTCTGCCAGTCTGCTGTGAATTGGACTGGGAAAGATTTCTCCGAATTGATGGAAAATTTGGCTTCTAGTTCCACCCCATGTCTAATTTCTCCTATGTGCAATCCCAGAACCGTTACCATTGGGGAAATGGAAGCCTGGCCTACTTTCATTTTTAAGGTTCTGTAAATGATTAAAGCTGTGTGAACTTTCTTTTTTCCTGCTGGTGTGTTTGCAGAGAGGTAAGCAGTCCCGGGAAGCAACTGGGAATGTTTACATGCTGATGTTGCAAAGCCTGTTGAATTGCATTGCTTGCCTACAGGTTTGAACTTGTGATGTTTTTTATCTCTTGGTTTAAGCTCCTTTTTTCTCCCCTTGCTTTTGGAGGCAAATGCCTCCTGGTTAGTTTTAATTTTAAAAATCCAGTGTCTATTTTTGTTACTAAATTACTTACTTTCCATGGCCCAGACAGTTCCCTGAGCTCCAGTGAATGGCAAGAACACTGAGCACAAGGTGGTGTGGGGTGTGTAGGAATGCTGCCTCTGTTTTGTAATCTTCCCTTACCCCTCAGGCCCCTCGAAACTCACTCCACAGAGACGCTGCAGGATTTTGAGGCACGGTGGCAGCAAGAGCTCATCCTTGCAAAGTTCTCCTCTTCCCCAGCTGTGGAAATCTCCAGTCAGGCCATTGCTCTATAGGAAGAGAGAGAGCAGGCCCTCTGTAGAATGAGGGGTTTCCTTCCTAGTGATGGTTCTGCCTATCTGTCCTCTAGCACCTCTCCTCCAAAGTGAAAAATATCCAAATAATTGAACTTGAGCCTGCAAGGTGGCAAGGGACCTAACTTCTGCTGATTTTCACGGGGAAGTGATCGTTTTGGTACTTACATTAAGATTAGGCCTTAATTTATGCAATGGAATGCTGCTTTAAGGATGAGGAAGGGTTAGATGAAGAAAATCAGCCTTACAAAACATGGCAGATCCTTGCCTGGCTTCTAAGTGTTGGTCTTTACTATCAACATTTCACATTCTGTGATTAAATAAGTTCTTGAAAATAGACCCAGCTGCTCTGAAAGTTAGTCTAGTCCTTACCAGTGAAAACAGCTTTGCCCCTTTATTTTTAGGATAGGGGTTATTTTGAAGTCCCCGTTTTGCATGCCTTTATTCCCTGCAGCCAAACTATTAAGAAAACACTTCCTACTACTTCATTTAATAGATGTTAACCCAGTGATTTATTAGATTTTTTTTTTTTTACCCCACTTCGTTCTTGTAAATAGCATGGATTCATAAGTATTTAGAAGACAGATGTTGGTTTAAATAGAAGGTTTTACATAAAATGGGGCAAGCTACAGTTATGAAAAACAAATATTTTGATGTTTGGCTTGAAATTACTCAAAGCTGATGAGTTTAAAAGAATCACAAGAATGAATTTGCTATTCAAACAAACACAGAGAGTACATTTGCAAAGTACTTAAGTGACTTAGGAGTCTAAGTTCCATTGAAATGGGACTTGGGTTTCTAAGCCAGTTAGATGCCTTTGAAATATTTTACCCAGAACCTTTTAAGGTATTAATTAATTGCTGACATTTTATACACATTAAATAACCTCTGGATTTCTGAGCTGTGGGTTGCATCAGGAGCCACTTACTGTGGCAAACTCAAAAGGTAGAGTTAACTGCTAGGTGGTTCATATTCCTTACAAAGTAGCATTTGCAAACATGGATGCCTTATAATTAGCACAGTGCAAAGCTTCAGTCTGGTCTGTATAAAGGAGCTTATCCTGAGTGCAACTATTCCAAAATACTAAAAAATGAGGGTGTGTTCCAGAAGGCTACTTGAAGTAGTAATATCTGCTATTTGGACCCCGAGTGGCAAAGCAGCTGGATTGCTGAGATTGACAGGTCAAAGGATGCACACACACAAATCCTTGCCATTTTTATGAATGATAAATTTTGGCTACAAGCAAATATTTAACATTCCTGCATCTTGCCATGCAC